CGCTGATGATACCCAGCTCTACCTCTCATTTTCCACTAATCCAGGTGAGGCAGTGGCTGTGCTGAACCGGTGCTTGGCCAAGGTAATGGGCTGGATGAGGGCCAATAAACTGAAGCTCAATCCAGACAAGACGGAGGTCCTGTTGGTTGGCGGATCGGGCTTCGGAGAGGGTGGATTTGACCTGGTCCTGAATGGGGCTGCACTCCCTCTTAGGGACAAGGTCCGCAGCTTAGGAGTACTCCTCGACCCGGAGCTTTCATTGGAAGCTCAGGTGACAGCGGTGGCGAGGAGCGCTTTCCTTCAGCTTCGGCTGATTAATCAGCTGCGCCCCACCTGGAGTACGACTGCCTGGCGACGGTGACACACGCGCTGGTGACTTCCCGCCTTGACTTCTGTAACGCGCTTTACGTGGGGCTTCCCTTGAAGATGGTCCGGATACTTCAATTGGTTCAAAATAGAGCTGCCAGGTTGCTGACGGGGACGGGGCGTTATGCTCACATGACTCCAGTCCTCCGACAGCTTCACTGGCTTCCCATTGAAGTCCGGGCCCAATTCAAGGTGTTGGTTATGACCTATAAAGCCCTAAACAGCTTGGGACCTGGTTACCTGAAGGAGCGCTTACATCCATATATGCCCGACCGCCCCTTGAGATCTGCGGGAGAGGCCCTTCTCCGGGAACCCTCCGTGAAAGAAATTAGGAGGATAGGTACTCAGAGGAGGGCTTTCTCTGTAGTGGCGCCCAATCTATGGAATGTGCTCCCCAGAGAGGTCCGCCTGGCGCCGTCGTTATTTGTTTTTCGGCGCCAGGTGAAGACCTTTTTATTTAAACGTCATTTTAATTGTTAACAATATTTACTTATTTATCTGGCCAGGGCAACTTCTTTTCTTTTCTTTTCTTTTATAACTTCTTTTATATCTTTTATATTTTTTATTTATTTTATATTATTAATTTTAATTTTATATTGTTATTTTTGTATTGTATTGTATTGTATTTTATTGTGTTGTAAGCCGCCTCGAGGCTTCGGCAAGGGGCGGTATAGAAATGTTCTAATAATAATAATAATAATAATAATAATAATAATAATTCAGCTATGAACTTTTACTAACGATGCCACACACTGGCTGCCATGTATCTACCAAAGACAGAGTGTTTAGTGTAGGTACATAAAACTCTCTATCGTATTTCCCTGAAAATAAGACCTATCCGGAAAATAAGCCCTAGCATGATTTTTTCAGGATGCTCATAATATAAGCCCAACCCCAAATTAAGTCCCAGTTAAGTTCATCAGCCAAATGGACCCATTAATTAAGTCTGCTGAAACATAAGATGAATGTATTGAATTATTAATATATTAATATATAATTAAATATACATAAATAATATTGTTGACATCAATACTTAAAGTAAATGATAATATAAACTATAATTAAGTGTTTGTAAATACCCAAGCGGGTGCTTTTGGATGAGAGGTAAATGCCTATGTAAACAGGTGAATTTGAGACTTATTACCGAATGACCAGAGTACAGACACAATGCACATATAATGTGCACACTTGATAATGAACAGATGTGTTTCATAATTCAGTATGTTGTGTGTTGTAATGGTTGTACTTAATGCACTCGTGTGTTGCCACTCCTGTCTCGTAAGTCTTCAATTAACACTTGATTTAATGGTAGATTTAAAGGGAATAATATGTTGACCCTCAGATAAGATGAGTGCAAAAAGAAAGAGTTATCCCATTGAGTACAAGAAAGGAATCATGGAGGACTCTTGGGGCAAGAATCTTACGGCTTTTGTAAGAAAAAATAAGACATCACCTGAAAATAAGCCCTAATGTGTCTTTTGGAGCAAAAATTAACATGAAGGCCCGGTCTTATTTTCGCAGAAACACGGTACCAATCAGTATCATGCAAGAACCACCATATTGGAGTTCTCACCATTTACTCAAAACAGTTTTCTTTCTGGATTTCCTTGCTCTGTGAACCAATCCATTTGCTTATTATGATTTTCAAAGTCTGATTTTAGCATTGCATTAACTATATTATATTGTATTAGATTTCTTTTTGTTCACTGCTTATATATTTCTTATGGATTAAGTAGCACATAAATTTAGTAACATAAATATATCACTCTGAAGCTACCTGATATACAATTTCCACAGAATTATTTAAGAAGCTTTCCCCAACCTGGTGCCCTCCAGTAATCACGCTAGTTGGAGATGGAGGGAATGTAATCCAGCACATCTAGTAAACACTAGAGTGGGGAAGCTGGATTTTTTATTCTGCTGTCTCTTTTCAAAAAGCAGTTCACTTAGACTTTTCTACATGAAAGGGAAGAAAAAAATACAAAGAGGGGGTTTCTGTCTACTAATTTAAACTGTAGGCAATCCAGGGGAACTATGTACAATGAAATTTGTGTGTGTGTGTGTGTATCACATTTGTTTTGTTCCCAGTCTTAGACAGACTTTGATCTCTTGTTCAGCATGAGTACAAAGACTACAGTTAATAAAATGTTTCTTTTTCTGACTAGAATATGAGGAATACATCCTTTCATATGAGTTTAATTTAGCTTCATTGATTATCTTGATTATATCACACCATCCACACTAGATATTCAATCTGACTATTTTTTAGTTAGAATTGGCTGGTCTTGCCTTGCTCTTATTGCTTTTTTAACAGCTCCTCAGAAGAGGCAGAAACATGGAGGTTTTACTAGCTCTGTGAAAGGCCAGTTGGTTTTTTTTTCTTTCTCTCTCTCTTTCATCCACATTTTTTGTCCTCTTACATTTTTAGATCGTTAGCCTGTGGGCAGGGAAAATCTTACTTTTATTTATAGTATGTAAGCAGTTCAAGGAGTCTTTTCTGCTGAGGAACAGAATTTAAACACAATTGGTTGCGATATGAATTAACAAAGGCTCAATTTTTGCATCAAACTGTGCACAACTTAATTTAGTTGTACTAAATGAGTCTTGCACAAGTGGGTGTGGAATATCATTTTTTTAAAATTACATTTAAAATTATAGAAAGTATATAACAAATTTACGATCTAGAAAAAGGTATTGCAGCCTCTATAAATTTTAAGGTAAGCATAAAGTGTATATTATCAACCCTGACTGCTCTTTAGAAGGGCAGATATTGAAGCTGAAGCTCAAATACCTTGGCCACCTAATGAGAAGGAAGGACTCATTGGAAAAGACCCTAATGCTGGGAACAATTGAAGGCGAAAGGAGAAGGGGACAGCTGAGGGTGAGGTGGCTAGATGGAGTCACTTCTTTATATGAACTAATAGCTTTTTCCAGACAGTAATGATCTGGTGAGCAGGCTCTGACAAAACCTGTTCACATTTATTTGAAGGCTGCAGTAGAACAGTGCAGGCAACCATATTATGTTAGGGCTCACCTAATATAATTGGTGATATTATATCCACTGGGGGATGGTGGACAGGAGAGCCTGGAGGAATGTTGTCCATGGGGTTGTGATGGGTCAGACACGACTTTGTGATCAACAACAACAACAAATATAAAGAATGCAATGTGTAATCATGAAGAATTACAGATATCACTGTGATGTATTCATGATACTATGGATTAGCAAGCAATTAGCAAAGCTTTTAATTTCTACACTGTTGCAATGCCAACCTAGCCTAGCCTACGTGCTTTAATGCATTTTGCGCCTACATTTCATGGGTCATTTAAGATTATTATCTTCTATGGCTGAGCATAACACTCATAGCTGAATATTTTCATTTGCTTTCAGGGAGTCGCAGGCTAAAAACCACCCTGAAGATGGATATCCAGGTAAGGATATGAAAGTTGTGGTGTCTTCAAAGTCCTTTACTAGATGACCAAAGAGCTTATTGTTCCTTCTTTTTAATATTTCATTTAAACAAAGCAGTTCAGAAATGGATATCTGATAGTGCAGCTGCTGCACACTTTGCCAGTTTGGGGCTACCAGTGCACCTAGAAACAACACTACACCATCACATCAAATGGGACAGCCATCTTTGTTCCATATAGTGCCCTAGTAATAACAGTGCACTGGCATGTAGTTTCATTCCCAGCAGCATTCGTGGTCCCAATTTCTTAACCACATAGCAGTCATGCCACCAGGTTCTCTGCCAAGCCACAACTTGGATTTAAAGATAGAAGAAAAAAAGTTAAAAGAAGCAGCCATTGGACCACTTTCTAAGTCTTTCTATTTTGTAGAACCAACAACAATCCCCACACACACAAATCAGGCCCTACTTATTTTGCTAACAAAAGCCTAATGAAGATGGGAAAAGAGGTAACCATCTGATATTTCATTGCAGGCCTGAAACTATTCTACCTAATTATGCAAACTAACTTCCCAAAATTTGTATATTGTTTGGTCTTGCTGTTCCCATACAGTGTTTCTGCTGTAGATTATGATGATAAAGAAGGTGCGGAATTCTCAAAATTCAGAAGCTGTGTGACAGTCAGGCTCTAATACATATTTTTGGATACCCACTGTATGGACCATATGGACAATGACCATGGGAAATGGGACTGCATCCACAGAACCCAGTGGATATAATATCACCAATTATATTAGGTGAGCCCTAACATAATATGGTTGCCTGCACTGTTCTACTGCAGCCTTCAAATAAATGTGAACAGGTTTTGTCAGAGCTTGCTCACCAGATCGTTACTGTCTGGAAAAAGCTTAGTTCATTTAAAGTTTCAAGATTATTATACACTGTGAGCACAATCTAGTTCAAATTAAGCATTTTATGTCTCAATGGCTCTAAAGTTGTTTAATCTTGGTTGACTCAGGTCCATAGTAAAACATTGTGAAATTTACAGCCACACACATTTTTATACCACCTGAACTATGAGCTACTGAAATGATAAGGTAGATTCTAATCTCAGAAATGTACAGTTGAGCAGCATGTATCCTTTTTAAAAAGTGGGAGAAAGGAAAAGAAAACACTCCATAAAGATGCATGAATTAAAAAGTGGTAAAATTATTAAGATCTTACCAGGAATGGGCTCCAGCAAATGCAAGAGACACACATTATAGCCAAGAGCTGAATGATCATTTCAAAATGATGAGATCTGCCTTGTCTATGCTGACTTTTAAATTTGACTCTTAAAAGTGTAATTCCTGTTACAGCATTGCACAAGAGTGAAATAGCAAGGGCTAATAAACCCAAGCATGAAAAAAATAAGAGGTAAAATCTGTCTTCCCAGTCTTCAATGTGCTGAGTCTTGTAGAAGCACCAGGTTCTTGAAGCCTGGATTTGATAGGCTCTTAACCTAAGTATAGGGAGCAAAGCAATAAAAATGGAAAAAAGACATACCATCACCAACATCATTTTTACATGCTTAGAAGTCATTTTTGTTGAATGAAATATTGGCTTAGTGACTCCAATGCAGCGTTCAACAGCCATCACACTGCCCAGAAAAAGGGGACATAGTCCGAAGAACACCATACATATGCCAAAAATACTGCAAAGAACATTTGAGTGATTAAATCGAAACCAGTCTTTGTCAGATGCATATACAAATACTGCAATGGTTCCAGTGATGAGATGGCCCAACAGGTCTGTAACAACCAAGCCACTAGCAAAAAGCAAAAATGATGCCTTGGATTTCTGTCTAAATCTCTGATATGCCTTCATCAGGATTGCTACTGCAAGACTGTTGGATAAAATCCCCACTGTCATGAAGATAACAGAAAAAAACACAGAGATCTTCTTTTCTGTGGTACAGGTTGTGTTGGATAAAATACCAATTCCAGCCAACGCCAATGATTTTGAATTGTTCATTGTGAGAAAAGCAAACTCATCATTCAAAATATTTCAATAGTCAGGAGATCGTCAGGCACCTGCAATACATTAAAAAAGTTTTTTATTAAAATGTAAAAAATGGCAATATATTGCAAATCTCACCTAATGTATACAACATGTTTCTGTGTACTGAATCTGTACATCTCTTTTAGGGGACACAGCATGGCAGAATGACATGGCAGAATACTTCAGATCAGCAAACATTTCTGTATTATAGCAACTAACTGAACTCAGTTTAGGCATTCAAACTAAATGCATGGAGTGGGAAAGTAGGTTGTACTCACTCTTCACGCATTCACTGTATTATTTGCATTTGAGCCATACACAGACCATACTCAAGAAATGTACAGGTCTAAAATATAGAGCATGTGCACATCTAGTTGTATATGTGTAGGCCTAGTGCAAACAACATCATGAATGAAGAGGAGGGCATGGATGAAGCCGTCAAGTGAGATGTTGGATAGAAAGCATATGCTAAATTTGAAATGTTCAGAACAAAATTCAGAAATCCTTAAGTAGCAACAAAAACATTTGTGCTATTATCATTGGAGCACATTTCTTTATCCAGAATCAATACTCCAGTATCTCTGAAACAGCACCATTCTTCTATCATGAGGAATGCCTTAATTGGAATTCAGTGACGCATTTCTTTCCTTCCCACTCCCTCGTTCTGCTATATTTTGTCTAATGTAAATCCCACCATTCCAAAGTGTTTCCATTTTGGTTACAAAGACAGTCTGTTTATGTAAGTAAAATATTTTCCCACTTTAAAAAGGAGACCAAAGTATGAAACATTTAAAACACCCTTGGAAGGAACAGCCAGGTAAAAGAAGGCAACACCAGGATTATACGAGTAAGACAGTTATGTTTGGCTGTCTCAGTTTGGACAACAAGTTTTCTATGATTTTGCCTGAAAAACTTACAATCAGGCAACAACAGTACTTTCATCCCCAGAAATCTGTCTCTAGTCTTGGGAATGCTTGAGATAGAGCCAAGGGAGCCTGGTAATGAAGGGTCTTTCCATTATGGACTTGGTTACAAAGGAAGACCTATGAAGTTTTACGTAGCTGTGAGTTTAACTGATGTGGAAGCTGTTGGGAAGGCTGCAGAAAGAAAGCCAAAACTGATATAAGAATCTGATGGAAGATCAGCCATTTTGCTGCTGGCTTTTATTTACTTTCACTGTGCTCTATATATCTGTAAATAGAATAAATATTACAAATAAAATCTGAATATTCCCAGGATTAAAATAATGTACTTAGCTCTCACTTGTAATAGGTTCTCGCAAACAGCTGTTTGGTGTCCCAAATTATTTCACAATGACCTTTTCCTGTGAGTAACATGCCAGACCATCTTCAGCTTTTAAACATACACTCTTGGGTTTGGGTTTCTTCATCATTATGAAGCCAGAAATCCTAAATAGTTATTTACTTGGTGTGCAATGGCTACTGAACCCAGTTTGTACTGAGGCTAAATGAGCTGGACAGTCCATGTGTTTCAGCAAGATGGTACCCACATGGATGTCACCTGAATGGTAGCTGTAAGCATCCCATTCTGGTGGAGAGAAATCAGTCTTTGCAGAGTACCTTTTACTAGAATTACACAAAGTGTTTCTCTAGAATGTATGAAAAAGAGGACATAAAGCAATCTCCATAGAAATAATGAGATGCTGATGCAAATGATCATACAAAGCAGAATACTGCATTTTTATCTTGAATAACTAAGCATTATTTGTGGGAGAAGGCACATATTCTATTTTTTTGGTCCATGGCATTTTGTTGATTCACAAGAAACTAGCATTTTTATTACATTATGAATAAAACCAGGAATTAACCTTAATCTAGTTAATAGTAACATTATTGTAGACCTAAAAAATCTCTACTTAAAGAAATTGGATTGTATATTTTATTTATATATGTAATATTCATATTATTGGTTGAAAGATCTATAGGAGCTGAATATCTAATATTAATAATTCAGCTTATCAAACAACTGGAATCATATCATACAACAGACTGTATTTTTCACAAATTCTTATTGGAACTTTCTGAATAGTTCAAAACTCATCAAAATCCATTGAAATGTTCTTCCCTGAAACAGACCTATGAATTAGACCAGGTTATTGACTTGAGTCAAGAAGCAACAGTGAGAACTGGACACGGAACCACTGACTGATTCAAAATTGAGAAAGGAGTTCGGCAAGGCTGTATACTGTCTCCCTGCCTATTTAACTTATATGCAGAGCAATCATGAGAAAGGTGGGGCTAGATGAATCACCAGTTGGGATTAAGATTGCTGGGAGAAATATCAACAACCTCAGATATGCAGATGATACCACTCTCATGGCAGAAAGTGAAAAGGAACTAAAGAGCCTCTTGATGCGTGAGAAAGGGGAGAGCACAAAAGTTGACTTGAAACTCAACATTAAGAAAAATAAGATCATGGCATCCAATCCTATGACTGCCTGGCAAATAGATGGGAAGAAATGGAGGTAGTGACAGATTTTATTTTCCTGGGCTCCAAGATCACCACAGACGGGGATTGCAGCCAAGAAATTAAAAGATGCTTGCTCCTGGGGAGGAAAGCTACGGCAAATCTAGACAGCATACTAAAAAGCAGAGACATTACCCTGCCAACAAAAGTGTGTATAGTCAAGGCTATGGTTTTCCCAGTTGCAGTGTATGGTTGTGAAAGCTGGACCATAAGGAAGGCTGAGCGCAAAAGGATTGAGGCCTTTGAATTGTGGTGCTGGAGGAGACTCCTGTGAGTCCCTTGGACCGCAAGGCGATCAAACCAGTCAGTCCTAGAGGAGATCAACCCTGACTGCTCTTTAGAAGGCCAGATACTGAAGACGAAACTCAAATACTTTGGCCACCTAATGAGAAGGAAGGACTTGGGTGTGAGCTTGGGTGGACTCCGGGAGATGGTGGAGGACAGGAGGCCCTGGAAGAATGTTGTCCATGGGGTCGCGATGGGTCGGACACGACTGCACGACTAACAACAACATTGACTTGAGGCATTCCATCCATGGCATAAACTTAAGAGACAACAGATCAAAATATGACATGCTGTTTCTCCTTCTTCCCCCAGTACTGTATGAACTTCGTGAACTCATGAATGTGTTTATGCTTGTGTGTGCATTGCCTTTCTGATAGCCTATATTGGTTGAAGACATAGACAGATGTATTCACACAGCTGTATTTCAGCTGTTAAGCCCACTTCATTTTGTAACTGTGCAAGAGGCATTCCACCGCATTAGCCTTGGGAAACGGAAATTAGACCAGTTTTTCCAAAGCCCATGATCACTTTGAATTACAGGCACCCATTTAGGGAAGGCTGGATTAGAGCATTCATACAGGAACCTTACTTAGGAAACAGGAAGCCATTTAACACCACAGTTCCCTGCACCTCATCCATCTCAAGAAAGAAAGAAAGACGGACGGACGGACGGACGGAGGGACAGACAGCTTGTGGGAAATATAAAGATAAGACGCAAACTGAAAACTATTAAACTGCTTAATTTTATTTGTTTGTCCGAGCAGGGCTGCAAATATGTACCTTTTTCAAGAGAACAGATCAATACAAGAGAAATTGTACTCTCTCTACTCACTCCTACTCTCTATTATATAGGAATGTAAGAATGAGTGTAGCTGAACTGATTTTATGTATCGATAAAGCTCACTGTAGGTAATGTACACATGGCAACAATTAGCTGAGTAGAGGAAAAGCAAATGAAGGACTTCAAGAAGATAATGATTGCAATTCCTAGGTGCCTTAAACTAATATACTTGGTCAGTTTAATGCTCGGCTTCCAGGGGTTATTAAATATTCAGGTGCATGTATGCTAATTCAAGTGTGGAAGTGCTCATGCAGAAATACTGTTAGCACTGAATATTTGTATACCTCCAAGAACATACTAAGCCCTATACTGAAACCAGTGATACATCTTACAGTTTACAGTGGAGCAGCAAAAGGATGGCAGGGGAATTTAACAGTGAACTCTCTAAACTTGATGGTAGTAGGGAAGCTTAAACCTAAGTTCAGGAAAATGTATATTAAGCAATTAGAGACTTGTACTGTAAAGCAGTTGCATAAGGTATGTATTTTGTTATTTTCAGAAGTGCGGCTTTGTTTGCTTCTGTACAAATCAGGTCACTTGTGAAGACTGGGAGTATTCTAAATAGGTGGCCTTTTAAAAATATTAAATCTTTTCCAAATCAATGAAAAACAAAATGAGGCATGGGAAATTCAAAGGCTGTTTCTAGCATGATTTGCAAAGGCACCGTATTGAAAATAGTTGCAAAGTATTTAAGTGGCTCCACAACATCCAACTCTAACTTATTTCAGAAACTACAGCATCGCTGAATTGCACAGAACAACACATACTAAAAAAATTGTTAGGTCCAGTACCAAAACTGGCATTACACCAATCAAACAGGCTGCATAGGAGATACGTGACATTATTACTCAAAGGTGCAAGATCAGGGACTAATGCAAGAAAAGACTAAATAGCAAGCTCCTGTACAAATTTGGTTTACACAGCACATAGAACACGGCATAAACTTGCATATGCCACAGGAATTTAACTATCGGTGGAGACTAAATGGGGGATAAAAGGAGAGCATACTTTTGAGGATATGGGGAACTGAAAGATAGATAAGGCTGTGGGGGAAGGAGTAAGTAGGATCCAAGTCCAGGGGGAGTAATTAAAGAGTTCAGTCTCAGCCCCGTACAGGAGGGAGGGAAGGAGTATGCAGAAGTTATTGAGTAACAGTGAAAGCTAAGCAACAGAACAAGGAAGATCAACGCTAAAAAAGTGACAAGGATGCCCTATTGATGTATTTTTGCTATTGCTTTTATATTACATTTATTTGTGCACTCCGCTCTCCGAAAAGAATCAAAGGAAACCTACACAATCTTCCCTTCTCCATTCTACCTTCACAACAATCCCAACAAGAGTTAGAGACTGGCCCAGAGTC